TTTTGTTTGTTAGTTTGTAGTTAGTTTGTAAGTTTGTAATAGTTTGTTCTGCAATGTGAGACAAATATTGTGTCCTCTGTGGGACCTAGAGTCCTGGTCTCATTATTAAAGTCTCCAGGGGAGCGAAATATCCTAAAATAGGACCCTTCCTCCTCATCAACTGCTTCTCATTCCCTTCACTCAACATCTCCAACTCTTGGGCTGACGGTAGCAAATTTATTTTTTAAACAAATTTATTTTTTATATATAACCTTTATTATTTAATAGTTACAATTAATTCATTTTTTATTTTGTGAATGTGCTTGTTTTTATTGCCTCCTTGTAGAAAACGTCCCTGCTACCCATTATTGTCTCTTCCCATCTTTGTCATTCCCATTTTCTTCTTCCATCTTTGATTGTCATTTCTCCTTACATGTGAGAGTAGTAACCCTTGAGGACAAATGGTTATAGTTCAATGATGAACACAAAATGAACAGTCTACACCACCTGTTCCTCCCTTCTAATTCTGCTTCAGTGTGTCTCAACCCTCTATCTAAAAGTGTCCTGTCTGTCTTAATGGCAAATCCATCAATGTTACTGCGCTTTCATTTCTTTCACTTCAGGGTTCCAGTTACAGCCCCATCTTCATCCTCCTCCTCCTCCTCCTCCTCCTCCTCAGTTGTCGAAGTATTATGCTGACTTAAAGTCCCCATGAAATCAAAATGAAAGTTTTTGGGTGTTAGTATCAATATGTTAGTCTTAAGGTTATTTATAAGGCAGTGTGCTCCAAAACAGTGACAAAATTGGCATTTAGAAGATATAAGCATTCAAAGCTTGCAGTTCGTCACTTCCGCCAAAACGGCTCAACAGGGGACAGGGAACGATTCAAGCAGTGTAAATATGCTTTCCATTGAGGAAAAAAAGAAGTCTGGTTTCGCGCTGTGTCACACTAACCACCGCACCGCACACACACTCTGCTCCGGTCCAGAGACACGATAGCATGGAGCAGATCACATGCGTGAGTCAGCGCAGACCACAAAATGTATCGGAGCTATTTGAATTCTGCACAGAATGCTATATTTTATAGCAATATGGATGAGATTGTGGCTGGCATACCCTGTCAAATGCAGCTTTACGGAGCTTAACAGCTCTGAACGGCTCTAGCCCAAGCTGTGAAATAAACAAACGCTATTGGCTATTTTAAAAAGGGGCGGGGCTGCTTGATTTGTTCCGCCCTGTCTTCCTGTTTCAGTTAAAATGATGTCAACAGAGTAACGCGCTGCGTGTTTCTAAGCATTACAGGGGACCTTTAACAATGCATTGCATTCTTGTTGAATAAAAGTGTTAATTTTTGTTTTTTTAATTGCAATGATCCCAAACTGTTGAATAGTACTGTTCATTTAAATAAATAAATAAATAAATAAATAAATGTAAACTTTAATTTATTCAAGTTTATTTAAGTTAATTGATATCTACAATCCAGTTCCATACTAGCTTGTCTCTACTGCATAATACAACAGCTAATATAATATCTCATTTTGGTCTCTTCTGCCTCATTTTGTATCTTACACTGAACAAAATTATAAACGCAACACTTTTGTTTTTGCCCCCATTTTTCATGAGCTGAACTCAAAGA